GTTGAATATAAGTCAAAAACTTGATAAAACGTCAAGATTCGAAATTGTTGTAGTCCATTTGCCCGTGAACTATACTACGAGAAAACTGAAACGATGTAAGCTATCACTAACACTCTTTCCCAACAACCACATTTGTGATACAGAACGTTACTCTCCAATAATCACGGTTTACAGCAAGTAGTTGGAAGACACCGGTGCGAAAAATTAACATGTGGACTAACCAACATCCACATCAATCACACCCATACACAGATAACTTGTCTTACTCATTGGTGACATACACCCCCACAAAATTCCAAGTAGTTTTTAGACAGCTGTGCACAATTAGGATTTTACTACAACTGATAAAGTGGTGAACAAGCAAGCTGTCAGTTGAGGTTATCGAACAGTCGACTCTCCTATACAAAATGAGTATGGGTAATCCGCTTAGAACTACGGTCTAACAATAACCATACGTTTAGTAATTATCATTCCCAACCGACTGAGAAGTGCGAAAACATATGAGTGGAATAAGCAAACGTTCCACCTAAAAAACTAAAGCATTACTATTCTATCAAGGCCTATGCACTCAATATATTTTATATAGGAGTAAACCATACGGTCTTTAAACGTCCATACAAAGTATTATAAAATATAACATACATGAACTCAGAAAACCGGCTCTGCCATGGAAGCAAACCGCAGAAACTCGAACATAGTCCAGAATGTATCGTGAGATCGACGTCTGGGACTCTAGTTAGTTCTGAAAAAGATATGAGAATTAAATTGAACAAACCCTTTATAGTCTCATCAACTTTCTCGTCAGTTAAATTATGGCAGTGCGTGCTAAGATGACGTGCCGATTTACATATCTGATCGAACCCATCATCGCAACTAAGATAATTGACAGTTATTTGGGACAGCATTTTTGATGCTTGAAATATATGAGATTATTTGTAGTTACCATAAAACACAGGACTGTATTTCACAGAAGATGTGAATTCCTTGTTTCTCTCGATACCAAAACCCATTTCTTTGATTAATTCATCGATACTATCTCTTAGGTGTAGGATATTCCCTGTAAGTTATTTAGCTTTCGTAATAAGATTCATTGTCATTACCTTTCATGTCAGACATAGACAGGTAAGAAACACCAATAGCAGAACACCACATTATTAAATTAGCTATATCTTGTGCAGAGAAAATTTCCTCAAATATAACAAAAGATATATGTTGGGGTATTTTTGGCAATTTTGTATTATTCTTTTCAAGATCGCACCATGAAGACTGAAGGTACGCATTAATGGAGAGCTTCAAAATTATTAATTGGAATATTTTCAAGATGAAAATCTTTAGTTTATATAACAAGGTTACGAGTGTGAACAGAATAGTATATGTCATCCTACGAGGTTACGTCGTATTCGAATTACCTCTTGAGAAGTTGTAGGTTCAATTTCAGCGTGTATGTTTTTAAACAATTTTGAATTTTCTGGCTAGACTTATACGTCATGTTGGTTGAAATTTCGCTTGAAGAATTTTTTATCGGTACGTTTTAATGAAATTCTGTTCGTCATCTGGATTGATTGGAGTTCTCATTTCTGGACTAGTTATGTTGGTATCCGCGTCATGTTTTCTGACTGCGACACACTCTTAGACTGTTGGTTGCAATAATTAGCGTTTTAGGCTAACATTGACGAAAATGACTTCGTGTGTCTTACTCTTACCATGAACTTGAACGTGATGGACAAGTTCAGTCAATTTTCTCGTTTATTTACCCATGGCTTATGCCCTGAACTTCCTGTTTGTTGTCAGGCGTGATTTTTTATCACTCAGTTGGACACACTCATATCACTGTTAAGAATTGAAATAATACGCGCACAGAGTAGGATATAATGTAACAAACATTACCAACCTCAAAGTACTCAGTAAGTCTGTGAAATTGTTTTACTTCCTAATTGACAGAATTTCGTGAAAAGAATTGCCATTTCACAGCCTAGAACTGACAATTTGACATCCAGAAATATCCAAACCGAATTTCATGAAATTAATCAGGTTGAATCGTAACAAATTTCTAGGGGAATTGAAGTGTGGTAGAAAAATCTACGTACGCCTTGGCAGAATTTGATATATTTGATGCTACTGCTGCTTACGCAGTTGGTAGTCACACATGGTTAATAATTCAAAATACTGTCTGGTACGTAGCTGGTACATAGTAAAAGCACGGTAAGTTCAAATTTTTCTCATTCACAAGTTCATATAATCGCACCATCAGTATCAGTATAGCGAACTCAGTAGCTCGTGTGATGTATTTCGTTTCTCATTATGCGTTCCAACGCACCCCTCTCAACTAAACACTACTAAATGCCTCTGGGAGCTACCGGTTCGACGTTCTTTTGATAATCCTGTAAACAACCACTCCTCACATACAAAAAGCAGCTACCATGAAACGACCTATGTAGTTTTCAGCACAACATGTAAATTACTATTCCTTTGGGTTTCGAGAGGAATTTGAGACCTTTAGAGCACACCTTCACTACGTCGTCTTTAGCTTTCTCTGCGATTGCTCATAAAATCCCAACCTCTCATACGACCTCATCCATAACGCCTTTGAACTCTCAACTCGTCTCTTGCTACTAAGATTCGTTACAGTGGTGGCCGGTCGCGTAATGTCAGTCAACATACTTCTATATGCGTGTCCGATGCTCTTCAGTTTCCTCCTGCATATTTACTATCTGACGGGCCTTCGAGTGGTTTGTTCACAGAGTCTGTGGTTGTTGATCCTTTGAAAAATAACCTGCTTGAATCAACAAAGCAGAAGAACCTCCAGCTATCAAAATGCAGATATAAGCTGAGATTTTGTGAACTCTGGTTTACTGATGCATTGATTGAGCTATTAGCATTAAATAGCGTATGGTCAATAAAAAATATCGTTTAGTTTTTTCATTAATTGGGGAATACAAAATCTTTGTTTTATGAATATCACATACCAAAGCCCAGGTTTTTTCAAACTGCATAAACTCCTCATCCTTTTTCATTGGTTTAATCATATCATTACATCATATAATCAAGTTACTTGATATAATTATGAGCAATAGTTTGTGCTTGAAACGTCAACAGTTAGTACTACTGTATAACACTGTGTGATTAATCAAAATAAATTCTTATCTATAATGCAGTCAATTTTCTGTCTGGCAGCGACTATTATTACTTTGAGTGAACCGACGAATTTGACTGGCTTATGGCAATGTTACTCTCTTTGTAGTATTTGCGTTTTCAAAAGTAATTAACGAGTCAGTATTTGAATGATTTCCTAGTTCTTTCTAATATCTCTGATATATTATTTTTTGAAACATATCTATACATTTTGCTAGCACCATATGGCTATAAACCCAAAACAGCAATTAGATGTTCCCATATTAATTGCCATTCGAAAGTTCTCAAGATTTTAACCACAGCATGTTTAAATCTCAGTAATAGTTACTCCAAAGTCGCTGACTCAGAATACTGCTGTCTACCCTACGATTATTTTCCTGCGTCACTAATAGTACACAGCCAAGTTTTATTCACAAATATGTCTAAGGATAACAGGCTTCGATTAAATGGCCTTTCCTGTGTGTCTTAGAGGCATGTGGCTGCAGTGATGGGCCTACAAATAACCTCCAACCTTCATTTTATAGACAGCCTGTTCCAGTGGTTCTGCAGGAGTTCCTTCAGTCTAAGCTTTATGTCTTCGTGAATAGTCTCCGATTTATATGATAGAATCTGGTAGTTTGTCAATCCGACCGACGGTTTATTACAGTCGGTAAAACATCACGCTAGGTCTCAGTTACAAGTAACACTTGACCGATATCGGACCAATGGCATTATTCAGAACTGCTGTTGATAAAGTTTTGTCTCAAAATGCATGCAACAACGTGGCCTCGGTAGTGGCATAATTTTGGATACTACGACACTTGATATTCTAGTAAAATTATAGAAATAATGATTGCTAAAGATACGGTGTTGTCCCTTTGAGCACCTTAGTGACATTCCAAGGATTAAATATTGGCTATATGTATACCAAACATTAATAGCTACTTAGGTCTTCCACTGTGTACTTTCTCAATGGGTCAGACTAGACCCTAGGATGCGCAGTTCCCACAAGTTCCACTAATTTCTGTTCAACCTACAGTGAGAAAAGCAGCTCGTTTTCTCTTCATTGCTTTTGTCTTCAGCAGTTCAGCAGCACGTTTTATTTCAGCTGTCTATTACGTTTTTGTGCCGAAGACGTCAAAGCACAGCGGCACATATAAAGTATGCAGTAGTCCATCTAAACACTGCAAATGTCCCGCTGACTTTCGGTATGGTGAAACCATAAGGATCATACTTAGCGGCGTAAACTGATGACCATAGTTTTCAGCTTGATGATAAGCATATGGCACTTAAATGTCTGATTGTGTGACATGGTGATGCTGCACGCAAAACGAAACTTTTAGAATTGACGATAAATATAGGTGAAAACAAACGCTCAGAAACACTGGTCTCTCAGTACTTTCACGGTCAGTGCACTCTTTTATTTTAACGTATTCAGCATATCCCCTTACGGAGATTTGGGACTGAAGTGAACACGCGGGAGGTGAAGGAAGAGAATAAAATATGGCGAAGAATCAAGCCATATCAATAGTACACACAGAAACTGCTCATGAATATTCGATCTGTAAGGCCTCTGCAACATTGTATGCTATGGTTACTGAGATGTAGCAGGTAAATTAAAAATTCAGTATGCAACGTCCGGAATATTTGAAACTATATCTTCCTCCTTATTTAAAAAGTTATTGTGGTGATTGACCAACTCTATCTCTGCATTGTTTAAATACTTACCGTTGCTTGTTATATATTTCTTATATGAATTGAATAATAATTTCACCAATTACAAATTCCAGAATTCATCCCACACTGTGTCTTGGTTGAATTCTTGTAATTCAGTCATCTCGAAATACTAATACTACTAGTACAAATAATTACAACATGTTGGCGTCGCGATGGAACTAACTAACCTTGGAAAATGTCCTATAAATGGTTCACCGCGGGAAATTGCTGATTATCTTGAATGCTTCGATGCATGGTGCATTTCAAAGAATGTTCGGGATGACAAAATTCCAGCTCATTTCATTACTGCTATTGGGATAGATGTGTATAGCCTACTGAAGACTCTGTCGTTTCCAGATGAACCCATTTCTCTGGTCCGTGAACTCCTGATAGGTCACTTCCATATAAATACTTTTGAGACACAAGAGAGGGCCCATTTCAACAAACTGGTTCGTACTCCCAACGAAAAGATTAGAGGCTTTATTCTCCAACTTCAAATACAAGCTTCAAAGTGCAACTTTGGAGATCAGCTGCATACTCAACTACGTGATCGTCTAATTGCTGGAATCAATATTCCTAAGTTAAAGAAAGAGTTAATTCAGATTCCTTCCTGCACTTTTCAAACTGCTAAAGATTTATGTATTACATATGAAGATGTCAATAATGAATACTCTGCTCCCACTACTTCAGTATCTGATGCTTTCTAAAGTCGAAAATACAAATGTTCATGGAAAGATATCTAAACTGTCGTTCACATGTAATAGAATGCAGCCAGAGATCAAAAACATTAAACCGTGTTTTTCCTATGGAAAGTTACATCTGCGCAGCACTTTCCGTTTTCGGGGTGCTAAGTGTCAACAATGTGGTAAAGTTGGACACATCAAGACTGTTTGCAGAAGTTCGAATACTTATGTTGCTCAACATTCTTATAATTCTCCCAATCTGTCTAGTAAGATGGAGTCAATGTGTCTTTCAACTTATCAAAATACTCAATCTCATCTAATGAGAACCTTCACTACAAGTTCAGCAACTCAAGCGTCAACTGTTTGACGTGTTTTCAACAATCAGATAGTCGAGTTACAATGCGAACTGTCGAAAACACAAAAAAGTGAGTGAAATGGAAGCTGGCTGGTTGTCCATCTGTCAACAGCTGACTGAGGTGAGGGAGCAACTGATTAAATTGGAGGAATTGCTGCATGTGCATAGATTGCGTCTGCTGAATGCCGAATATACAAGTACGCGTGAAAGTCCTGCAAAACTTTTCAAATCTCGAATTCTCAGAAAGCATCAGATGTCCACGATTTCTAATATACATTATTACAGAGGGAATGGCTATAGACCTTCTGTTGGAATCATACTGCAAAGAATGGGAAATCGAGTGGTGAAGATATTAGACATCAAAGATCACTCAGTTCATAACGGACACCTGGACAAAGTGAGAATAAATGAAGTAGGTCGTTCCAATTATAATTTTAATGATTCTGCTACCAATCGTGATTTTGTAGATGATTCAGAAATAAGTCCAGATGATACTGATGAGAATAATATCACAGAATCAGTTAGAAGGTCACAGCATTTTGCAAGCAAACCGAGCCATAATTATAAATACTCAGGGAGATATTCGACGTGTGGCGGATGCGGTGATTCACAATTGCTGTCTCTTTATTGCTTAAATATTTACCGTTGCTTGTTATATATTTCTTATATGAATTGAATAATAATTTCACCAATTACAAATTCCAGAATTCATCCCACACTGTGTCTTGGTTGAATTCTTGTAATTCAGTCATCTCGAAATACTAATACTACTAGTACAAATAATTACAACAGTTGTTGTCAGTGGAGTTGAAGTTTGAACGATCAATTCTTGGTTGTTTGCTCAAAATCAACTTCCCCAATTTTCGCGGAAGCATCAATACGACAGTCATCGTCTCATCGGTCGCTGTTCAGAAAGAAGATTGAAACATCGTCAGAAGTAATACAGAGATTTATTATTGTAATATTTGTTTTCAGACCTTAGTTTGCTTAGTTCGCTTATTCCTTTTATATGTTGGTGTAACAATAAACAAATATCAAACGGCAGATCGGTGTTTTGGTTTTTGCGTCCGTTATAACTAAGCGTTTCTGAGAAATCTTCTAAGAACAGCGTGGGCCCGAGCGTAGCGAGAGCTGGGCATTAACGGTTTATGAGACTTTGCTGACAGTTTCTGACGATAGAAACAGATCTGGCGGATTCAGATAGCTGGTAACAGTTTGGATAGTCGCCGTTCATTTTCCTGGTGCCGGTCAAGTCCTCTTTGAACAAGCAATATCTGGAACTTTTTGGAATTTGGTCAAGTTCAACAATGCCTGGGTCAAAGAAGGGACAGAGTGTCTTGGATGCAAACAGGAAAGTAAGTCATGGTGACTTGTCTGTTAATTGTAACGATGTGTCTGATGTTAAACATGATATGGTTGATGTTACTGTTTCGCCGTTCAGGGATAATAGGAACATCAAACTCCCTAAATTAGAACCACGATGTTTTGATGGAAACCCGGCTGATTATTTACAATTTGTAAAGGAGTTTGAGATCATGTTGAGTGGTTTTTTATTAAATGATGAATTGAAATTGATGTATTTGATGAGATATTGCACTGGAGATGCTGCAAGAGCTATACAGTGTTGTAAGTTTATGAAGCCAAAGGAGGGCTACGATGAGGCTATGAGCATATTACGCCAAAGGTTTGGAAGACCCTCGATGATTGCAGGGAAATTATTCGAGGCTGTTGAGGGTAATGGTGGTCAATTACAGGATGACTCCCAGGCACTCACTGAGTTTTTAGATAATTTGCTAATTTACAAGAATGGAATGATTTCGATGAATCGAATGAGTGACCTCAACTCGAGTTTTATACTAGAAGTAATAGCAAGACGTCTACCTACTCGACTGCAAAGGAAGTGGGTGAAGATAAGCTCCCGTATGGAGGATGAGGGTATCGAGCCAAAGTTTGATGATATCCTGAAACTGGTAAATACTAGTGTCAATCAATCTATGAGCAAGTTCGCCAGTCTGTTAGATCTCACCCATAGAATAGAGCAGTCTGAGGGTAAAACGCACTCATTGATGACGAATAAGCCTCAGAGAGGTGGATATCGAGAAGGCTCCATGATGTCTAGTAATGCATATAGATCTAGTGAGTGTAACAGGTTTCGTAGTACATCCTCAACAGATAAGTTACAAGATGCAAGACAAACACGGTTGTGTTGTACACGTTTGCAAGAGGTGCATACAAAAGTGAACTGTGAACCAGTGAGCAAGTTCAGTGATAAGCTAAATGTAAACTCCAGGTCTGACTCCGAATTGTGTGACGATAACGGTGCGGTGAAGAAGTCTGTAGTTGCAACTGGTAAGCCGTTGTTGAATAGAGTGTCACAGAATAGAGTTACTGCTTCAGAGTGGAGTTCTGACTCCAAAAGTTTACAAAGTATAACTAGTCAGAGTGAAGATGTAAAACCTTTAATGATTTGTGAGGAGGAACCAAAATTGTCTACTTCTGTTATTAAAGAGTTTGAAAATGATGAAGTTGACGGTAAATTGAATATTTGTGATAATGATCATGATAGTGCAGATTTGTCTTTGGTTGATCATGATGAAATGAGGGATATGCCTACTACTGCTAAGTTAAATAAAGGTTCTGTACAACTTGAACGTGAAGTAGAAATAAATGCAGATTCAGTTGCAGAAGGCATGCATACTTGTGAGACCGTCAGTGGGATTGATCAGCATGTAGCCCACCTATCATCAGATGCTAGTGCTAAACCTGAGCTGATAGTAAAAGACAGCAGTGGTGGTGGTCTTGCAGGTAGACAAATTTCTGAAAAGCGAGCAACAACAGCTTTTGATCCACTGCTAAGTTCATCAACTGATATCAATCAGTCGTCGTTGGTGTTTTCATCCACAATGAAACAGACACCCATCAACTCAAGTATCTTGTGCAATGACTATGGTAGTATCAGTTCGTTTGAAAGGACGAATATCAATGGTCAGTTTAGTGAGGATAAGCCAAGTGTAAACGAGAGAGTAATTGTTAAATTGACTTGCACGAATAAAGGCATTTCTAGTTTCAAGTTACTATTTGAATGTTATTATCTTTGGTGTAAATTACTCTGTTTCTATACTTGGTTGATGAGATATGTCGTGTGTTTGTTGGTCATCTATATTCTACGATACAATGACATGGGCGTGTTGCCGTTCAGATTTGAGGATATAGCTGATAGAAGGAAGTTAGCAAATGAACTCTGCGACGATTTTCCAACCTAGGGCGTCAACCTGAGAAGGGTTGTAGGCGTACTGCTGTAAGTCCTACAATTCTTCAAAGGGTAGCGCATCAATGAGCAGTCCAATGTGCTTGGTGTGTGATTTTGTACATATGTTCATATTGTATATACTGAATTGATATCATCTGTCATCTAGCTGTTGGTAATTCTGTTTGTGTCCGGACGACTTCCACTTGTATCATCAACCTGAGAAGGAATGTAGGCGTACTGCTGTAAGTCCTACAGTTCTTCAAGGGTAGTTTGTCGTGTCAGAATCCACAACATTTGATGTGTTGATTGTACATATGTTTGTGTTAAATAGTTGTGTGAGTTCCAATTATTGTAATTGTTGGTTAATCTTGTTTGTGTCCGGACATTCCACAACTTACAATCGTCAACCTGTGAAGGGTTGTAGGCGTACTGGTGTAAGTCCTGCAATTCTTCAAAGGAATTCCATCAAGACATGATCGCGAGGTTGTTTGTACTGTTTGTATATACGTGTGGTGTGTCATATCAATTGGTGTTTTTGGATTCATTGTGTTTACTTGTTGTTTTCGTATCTTGTTGTTATTGCGTAATTTTGTTAAAATTTTCGTCGTGATTACTTCTGAAGTTGTTTCGAGTCTTCTACATCCATGAATGAATTGATTGATGTTAGAGACAGCAGATGGGTCGTATACGCCGGGGAGGCTAGGCTATTGCTGAGAATGAAATGCACACGGAGATAATTGTTAGCTGCGGTCCGACACGCCGGGGAGAAAGAGTGTAAACGACTGAGGCTCGCATGCGTCACCGCTACTAGAACTGAGGCAGAATGAGTGACAAGCGATTTCAGTGGTAATTGGTAGTGAATAGAAAAGAGGATGCGCGTAGAGTATCATGAGGTGCTGCTATGGTCACGTTGCATTCTGCAAGAGTCATTCTAGCAAGTGGCGATTGTGTTGCAAGATGTCAAGAGGAGGTCTCTGTCTGGAGGCGCAGGTCGTCATTGATGTGTGAGATTGTGCTGTGGGTATGCTTGTGGTGTGTTGGCTTTTCTGTTTGTTTTCCATTTCAGCTCTGTCCGTGTGACCCAGGTTCTCGCAATGGCATCCAAGTCAACGTGCATTGGTCGTGAAGGAAAAAAGGGTTGGATCCCTTTTTTGCCGGGGAGTGTCAATGGAGTTGAAGATTGAACGATCAATTCTTGGTTGTTTGCTCAAAATCAACTTCCCCAATTTTCGCGGAGGCATCAATACGACAGTCATCGTCTCATCGGTCGCTGTTCAGAAAGAAGATTGAAACATCGTCAGAAGTAATACAGAGATTTATTATTGTAATATTTGTTTTCAGACCTTAGTTTGCTTAGTTCGCTTATTCCTTTTATATGTTGGTGTAACAATAAACAAATATCAAACGGCAGATCGGTGT